GTACTCAAGTATGCCATTAACATTGTAGTTAAACTACTGACAAAATCCAAATTTTCTCTTTTAAAAATAAACTACATTATTGTAAGAGGTTTAATAGGTTAAATACAGGTTGATGTTTTGAGGAATACATTTTTACTGTTCTGCTTAATCAACATTGAACATTTGGTACATTTAGCTGATTATAATTGCACTTTAGAACAGTTTGAATGCAAGACATTGCCAACATAATCATTAACTTTATTCACAATAAAAAAAACACAAATTAACCATTATAAAGAATTATCCAAAAGAGGTCATGTATCATATTTTGGAAGGTGACTTATTCCAATGGAAATGAGTTCTCTTCCTGTTTAATAGTGTCTTAATGATCACATTTAGCTGTGAGCTTTCATGTGGCATTTTATAAACTGGGTTCAAAAAGTAACAATATGAAACAAACATGTCAATTAAGGCCAATTAAGAAGTTTAGGACATCCAAATGACAAGTTCAAAACCAAAATGTGTATCCTCCTCCTAGGCTGTGGAATGGGAAATAAAAAAGTGTAGAAGCTGACGACTGCAGATCCATTTAGACTATCTCAGGAAATGAGGCCACAAATAAACATTATTACATTCTTGTATTAAAAAAAAACATGTTGGTCCCTTAAGACAATTTCCCCATCCATGACAAATGACCAGAGTGTGTATTTAACATAACTCAAGTTTGCATCATATGAATGCTTACAATGGTCCATCATTAGGAGTGACGACCCTTTAGAGTGACAGATGGGAGCTGCTATATGTCTGTTAGAAGTCACATCGGCTAACTCGAGTCACTGAAATTAACCTCTTAGGTTTTTCATCCTTGCATGAAAATATGGCGACTCCTGCCTCCAAAAATCTGCAGATCTTAAGACTTTAGGATTCAAACAGAAGTCTCCAAACTCACGAGTAATCTCAAACTCACAGTACAGTAGCTAACTGTCAGCTCCTTGTGTGTTATGTATGAACAAAAATGTTTTAACATAAAATATTCACATAGGTAACAATTATTATGGTGCTTTGACATTCTACCACATATTTTTTTAGTAGGCTGACATGTTGACTTTTTACAATATGTAAAGCATGGCTGTCACTTATATTAGCACTGGCATATTTCCATCAAATTTCACTGTAGGCCATGACATTGAACCAGCATGCATAATGGCAGGAACTTGGAACAACTTTAAATTATTACAGTATTGATTGCACATGCACTATTCCTGCTGTGATGTTATCTGTGATTTTTTTTTTTTTTTACATTATTTGTGAAATGACCTTGCATCTTTAACCATGCTTGTAGTTTGGCTCTCAATATTGCAGTGTCCGTGTGTTGTTTGGCCCATCGATTCAGTCCATATTCAATTATTTGAACAACTATTTAGTGAATGACACTTTTAGCAGATATGAATGATAATGACTTTTGCTCTGATGCCACAATGAGGTTCGCAGGTGTTTTTTTCTATTAAATGGCTTCATAAGAAATTTGGTTTAGTCATGTTTTCAAGATGAACTATAACGACTGGGTTTTTCATCATGCAGCACATCCGGTCAAATCTAAATTATTTATCAACTTTTGTGAACGACAACATGGGCTACCTGCAAAACTACTGACATTCTAATCAGCATCAGCTGTGCTTTTGTGTTCATGAGCAAATAATTATAATAAACAAAAACAGTAACACAAAATGCACTCACCAGCTTAGCATCAGCATGTTAGCCTTGTAAATGTGAGCATTTAAGCATACTGCCGTTAGCATTAAGCTAATCAACAATGTGCAACCCCCCTGGCACGGCTCCAGTCTTTTGGACTCTATCGTACAGGGACGTATCTCAGTGACGTCACCCATTGGTTTCTGAAGCGGCGTTTTGAAGCCAAATAATGTCGTTGTAACATATTTGAACTGCTGTCTCAAACAAACTTTCTGTCAACCTAGCAACAGGTAAACAGGTAGAGCTGAGTGCCCACCTGTGAGTCTGATTGACCACGCCTCTAATTATTCAAATATATGCACAACTGTTATATTGCATGAATGAGGTGTGGGACACATCAGAAAAAAGAGGTTCTGAGTTAGAAAATGCACTTTGGATACCCATTTGCCATTATATTTGTCATTAATGTGGCAGGCAAAATGTTTTGTGAGAAACTTTATATTAATTCATGTATAGCACATCAACATTTTGCTCATATATAATTTGTAAAGTGGTGTAACGATTAGTTGTTGTCCAAAAGTGACCTTAACTAGTTAGAGAAGTTATTTATTAACATTGGTAAGGTATTCTTCCCTTGATAACAAGTCAACTAAAGCAATATTTAAGTATTTATTAGCATTCAGCTTTGATTAAAAAAATCAGGTAATTTAATTCTAAACATCTTCGTATTATCCATGTTGTTTGTTCTTAGAACATTCTGACTTTGAATTTAAAGCACATAAGTGTGGGAAGAATGACTTCTCAATTGGGAAACTGGGACCGTCCAAAGAGCACAGTAGTAATATCAATACAGACCAGTTAGATAAAAAAAAATCACCCCATGTACAGTGTTTACCAATACAGACATGAAAACATTTTTTGAACCGTTTCTGCTGTCAAAATGAGCATTTCCACACTGAATTGAACATTGAACTTATAGATGAACTACTGAAATGAATTATGTGATATCCCCATCTTACATTCAGTTACGCGATCCTATCGGGTATGTAATTTACTTTCACCCACTCTGACTCTAAAAAAAAGACAGTCGAGACTGAGTACATCTTGCAACATGGGCTTTATTAGGTTCAATGCAATTTCAATTTTTACAATGGTATTTTTAGACACACAAACAGACCATTGGACATGGTTGCGATCTTTAACCCAGTTCTCATTATGACCAACAAAATTTCTCAGAGTCCTAACTTCTTGAAAATATTAATTTCTTTGCAGTTTATTTTCTATTGGCAGTCCAATAATCCAAAAAAAAAAAAAAAAACACGATAAATGACAATTCACTGAATGAATGCAAAGATGGAGTTTAAGGCCATTCGAAGGGGCACAATTGTACTTTTTATTTTACACCAAATATAAATAATGTTTAAAAGCCATCAGTTCTGTTTTTCTTAAATATGTTACTAAGCTAATGTACTATTCTAATCAGTTTAAATAACTAGCATATAGGGTTGTGCCAATGCTGTTACACTTCCTTCATTTGTGGCTCCTTCCAGAACATTTTGCCACACAGAAATTCACACGCATGCACACACACACTCACACACACACACTCACACACACACACACACAAACAAACAAACACACTCACATATGTGTAAGAAGGGGACTTGTATCAGTGAGTGCCAGGACAGCAGAGAAAAGCCTGCGAGCAGCTTCTTGGTGGGGCATACACTAGAAAAATATATATATATTTATACTGTACTGGAATGTATGAGAGCAGACCTTGGCTATTAAGATGCTCAGGACACAAGCATTTAGATGATTATACTCATCAATAGTCGATGCAGATTGTTTTTCTAGAAGTTGGTGAAATTTTTGTTCTAAGGGAAACAAGCAGGACTTTAGACAGAGGATTTATGTTTGTTTACGTTTGTAAATGTATGTGAAGTGTGAAGATGAAATAGAGTAAATGTTGATTTAAATGAAGAGGGACAAGTCCTGGTTTGAGGATGGAGGCACTGCGCGGAGCTGGAAACAGATAATGACAGTGTAGTGATGGATGACTCATGCATAAATCCCTCCCATCCTTTCATGTTTACTCTCTGTTGCTCACTACACGACTGAATCTGGTGCTGAACCATTCTTTGTTGAGACAATGGTTCCTGTATGTCAAACCAAAAGCTACCATATAGTGTGCCTCATGGAGCTGCTCCAACACAACATAAGCAGGGGGCATGTTGTTGTAAGCTGGAGACAGTATTTGAGAAAATATCAAGGAATAAGTACTGGGGGGATACTGGGAACAGGAGGAGTATCTTCTACTTCTCCAGTAAAAATAAAGAAGCTGCCAGTTGTTGTGTTGGCACATCAGGCAACAATCCTGGGACTTGAACTTTAAATTAAAGATGTTTAGAAACAAAGACACGGTCTCTTTCTCCCTGTCTCCCTGGACTACGTGACTGACAGGGGTGTACTTTTTTTTTTTTTTTTTTTAAAGAGTGCGCAGGCTGATGTGTGTTTGTGTGAGGCAGCAGGTGGGCCAGCTGTGAATGACACACATGACTAGGTGCAGTGACAGCTGAGGGACCGCAAAGGAAGAGGAGGAGCTGGATGGAGATTTTGACAGATTTGAGGTGTCTGCTGGGGAGGATGAAGGAGGAGGAGAAGTGTGTGTGTGTGTGTGTGTGTGTGTGTGTGTGTGTGTGTGTGTGTGTGTGTGTGTGTGTGTGTGTGTGTGTGTGTGTGTGTGTGTGTGTGTGTGTGTGTGTGTGTGTGTGTGTGTGGAGAGGTGGTGGAGGTGGTGAGGGGTGCTGTCAGGTATGGTGACTTGCTGCTGATTTGCTTAAGATGCTTAACAGACACGTTTCTAATCAGGCCTAACATCTGATGCAGAACTGCACTGCCTCCTCGAGGACAGCTGCTTCATCAATTTGCTACATACATCTTCAGAAGGCTGTGATGTTGATTCAATATGAAGTATAACTGTGTCACTGATACATGTACATTGTTGGAGTTTTTTTTTTTAAAAGAGTCATTTTCACAAGGAAAAAGTAAACAGGACAATAGTCCTCTGTTTGTGCACTGCATCACATGATAATCAATGTATTCAAAACGTTTTGGGAGATAAGTAAATGAAAAACAAATCACTGACACGTTACACGTTATTCTAACAACCCGTCAAGTGGATTAACTATCAAAGGCTGCCTCTTTCTGTTTCATTCTTTTTTTTTGTACTAGTCAACGTTTTGAATATAAAATGGTAGAAAAGGCACACAAAAAAAGTTTTTCAGCTTCCTTGCTGTCATGATTTGTCAGAAAACACAACTATATATTTTGTCATTTTTACATGAGGGTTGCTGTTTTTTTTTTTCAATTGTTGCAGTTAAATAATCTATCACCACGTTTCCAGATCAAGAAATGACAAAAATAATAGTGTTTACACATTACAGCGAACCAATATTAGGATATGTGTAGTTTTTTTTTGTTGCGATTTTCAGAATGAATCTGCAACTTGAGCATGAGCAGATCATGAAAAAAAGCAACAACGGACAAGTGACAAGAAAGTGCCCGACAGACATGCTAAACTAAGTTTGTAATTCAACGGTGTCTGTGTTACAGAGCTCGAATGAAAAACACAAACGAGGTGATCTTTTCTAAAAATGTAAAGGTTCCATAAGAAGATTGTTTCTTTTCTGCTTCATGTTTATGGAAAAGAAATATGGGCTGAAAAAGAATGCAGATTTAATCAAATCTGATATCTCCATATTGGTCCTTAAAGAACCTGTCTACAGCTATCATAGATCAGTGTAATATGTTTATATGTATACATGCTGAATAGGGGTTGTTAAAATAACGTGTAAACTCTCATCGTAATTTTGAACCTTTAGGACATTTAAGACTAAAGAGCCTCGGAGGTTCTGCTTCTTCTAATGTGTGTGTGTCTGTGTGTGTGTGTTGCTACAGTGTTTGCTGCATTCTTCAGCTACCGTGTAGAAAACATAGCATAGCACAGCCAGCCCAGCAACCAAGTAGGTATTAGTCCAGGACTGCTCAGTTCTTTTTTCCTTCCTAAGGGGCATTTTCAGCGCACACAAACCAATTTAACTCTGCGCTACAACCAATCAGAGCAATGACGCGTGTGATGTAGTATGAGGCTGACTAGCTAGTTTCAACATAGCTTCTATAGTTCAACATATTTAAAGGACATCTGGCAATGACATGATTTAGTATTCAAGACTTTCTAAAGGTTCACTACCATCAAGTTTTTCTTTTAATAGTGATGCGATGGCAGATTCAGGATGTCACAAACATGCCGGGATCAAGTTAAACCGACCGAATGTTATATCTAACATTCAGTCGATGATTGGCCGCACTTGAAGGCTAGACTAAAATCTGTCGGAACAAGAGGGGGAGGGGGGTGTGATGTACATGCTAAAAGCTAAATGCTCACATATGTCATGTAACCAGGCCACATTAAAGGTCCAACCCTTGGTGTCCTGCTATGAGCCGCAGTTACTTGAATTATTTGAACTTCTCACACAAAATGACGAAACACAATCAAAATTAAATAAAGGCCAAATATGACCATGAATCACAAGGAGGCTTTTTTTTTTTTATAATAGTCACAAATCCTAAACCAGGAAACCAACAAACACAAAAGAGCAAATGAGTGAATCTTCCATGATGTTTTGACTTTAAGACTTTCACTTTTTTATGAGGTTGTATCTAGAATGTAACTCTAGATTTGATCTCACATGCTAAGAATTTTCCTTGTTCTCTTTAACCCAGGAGTCCCAGGTGAAACAAAACAAAACAAAAAAAATCAACATTGAAGCATTATTTCAGCTCAACCTATCATCTTTTCCTAAACCTAACCAAACTGCAATCATCTTAAAACATCTCACACACACGATGAACATTGGGAAACAGACATTGGTTTGGTTTGAGCACCAAACGTACTTGTTCAGGTTTAAGGAAAAAAAACAAATAAATGTAGTATTCAGATAATATCAGAATGTTACATTTGGCTTCAAGCTGAACTCTAAATCCGGTCTCTGCATGAACTCTGTTACCCTGACGCACCATACAGGAACAAATCTTGTGAGAGCTTCCCAAATCTGGGCTTACATTCCAGCATCAACCTTCTTGTAAACTAAAAATCAGTTCGACACCTTTTTACCTTTCATACAAAAACAACACTAATGAAAGACCAGGGCTGGGGGGGATTAGAGTATGGAGCATGGATCATGATGTGTTGTGCTGTATTTGCTGTTGATCAGGATGGCAGGCAGGAAACGAGAACTACAGAAGCGGTTCAGAGGCAGGTGCTACAACCTCTCCTGCCTTCACTTCCCCTATGGCACACACAAAGCTGTGGTAGAGCCGTCTGTGAGGACGAGCGACAAAACGAGCTCCAGGACGAGACACGTCGGGCACTCTTGGCCCGACTGCCAGTGACTCTTTACATCAGACAGTTTGGGGTTAACGGTAAAGACTGGAAACACTTTAATTATCTTTAAAAAACAAAAATGGACAACCAAAATTTGTTAAAACTAAACATACATACATAAAGAAAGATAACACAGGAACCAGTGGAGAAAGGACTAAAAGAACTAACTAGTTCTGTAAGGGAAAGAATGACTTGTCCGTCTCTGTATTAGCACGCTTTTTTTTTCATCAGGGTGGAATAAGGAGAACATATGAATACAAGTTACTCTTCCTCCTCTGTCTTTTTCTCAAAAGTTCGACAACATGTGAGGATTCTTTGTCCACTGTGAGGGCTGTGATGGGGAAAAGAAGTAAACATCATCAGCAGTTCTGACGAGACAAACAGGACCTTCATTTGAACTTGTGTGGGCCTTAAGTTGAGGGTGATGAAGGAAGGAGAAGACAGTTAGAAAGGGTTTGTTGTGTTTCTCTACAGGCGTTTCTGGGCGATGAGTGAGCCCACCACGACCCCGGTCACCAGCGTCATCCCCGCCAGCAGCCACTTTTTGAAACTCTCCTGAGACCTCCTGATCTCTCCCGCCGCATCCTGCCCAAAGATTTCAGAGAAGCGCTCCTGTGAGACAGAAAGAAAGAGGAAGAAGAAGGTTAACAAATGGGTATCTGTGGTTGAATATAGGATTTATATTTAAAGCTGAAAAAACACTGACATATGCGCCCTTCCTATAAAAAAATCCCCACTCAAAACGAAAGTCTACTGACAGCTTTGAAGAGTCAGGTAGATTCCCTCCTGTAAAGGTCTCTATGCCTCAAATGGCTGCTGAGCCACCCACACCTGAGTATCAGTATGACTGGACTATGACTATGACTGAATCCACAGAAGTGGAAATTTCCATCAACCCGAGACACTGCATAATTCAACATCATGAAGAAAACCCATGAAACCACCTGCATTGATTCTGTACACAGTCACAACAAGATCTCACTGATAAGAGGAAAAATCCACACGTGTTAGGACCCTGTCACAACAACTGTTGCTTTAAAATTTTCCATCCTCCCCGCTCCCTCTCCTCCCTTTTAAGGCATCCCATCATCAGTCCTGCTGCAGATTCCTGCTGCAGATTCCTGCAGAACCGCTGTTGTTGCCGACATTCTTTCCCACCGTTGTACTCAGATTGCCAAGCCTACATCCGCCCACTGAAATCATTTCCTGGAAGCCAGCTGCAGAGAATGCAGTTTTAAACTCTGGCCACAAGGATGCACCAGTGAGGCTGAAATCTGGTTTGTAAAAAAAACCTACAGCAGACTGGACATGGCTCATCACACTGATAATGGTGATGTTGTACACAATTCAAAACAAAGTGCTTAACACCTGAGAACACGGTTTGTTAGGAAAATCCATCCTTTTTTTTTTGGGAAAACATAACTTTAATCTGATCTGTACAAATATGAAAATGACTCCTTCAGATGTTGGCGTGGAATACACTGATCTCTGAGAAATCCTATTGCAGAGGACTGAGGTGGTGGTGGTGGTGGGGGGGGGGAGAGAGGTTACCGGAATTTGCTGATAAATGAGACAGGAAGAAGAGGAGGAAAGGACAAAGATGTCGTCAGTGAATCAAAAGGAACGCAAGGGGGGGGGGGGGAATATGACTGGAAATAAAAATTAATGATAATAAAAATGTGTCTGTATATCATCCAGTCTTTTCTTTGTCATATATATTTTTCACTTGAAAACTGAGAGAGAACAAACGCAGGTGGTTCAACTGAAAAATACAAAGACATTTTTATGATACATACTCCTTATATGATTGTAATCTCACGGGTTATTATGACTTAATTAAAAAGACGTCCAGGTTGAAAGTGGAATGGTGAAAACTAAATGTAAAAATGCCATGTCAATTATAAAAAGGACTGTTTCCCTTTTTTTGAAATGTATTGACAAATCAACTATTCTAAAAAGAATAATTATCCAATTAAACAATAAAAAAAGATTCAGTGACTATAATCAATAGATAAATGGACTACATTCATCAGCTGATAGTGGCAGATTCATTCTGCAAACTATTTCTCTAACAGTGTATTTGTTGTGCAATTACCAACTAGAAATGTCAAACTAAACTCCTTATGTCCTCATCCAATCTCTCCTTTGTCCTCCTTACAGTGACCTGGAAATCCATTTTCAATCTTTAAGGATCTCTCTTTTTTTTTCTTTTTTTCTTTTTTTTGTATGCCTTTATTTGAGGGACAGGACAGTGTGGACAGAGTCGGAAATGTGGGGGATGACATGCGGGAAAGGAGACACAGGTCGGATTTGAACCTGAGCTATTCACCTTTAAGGACCAAAGCCTCTGTACATGGGGCGGGCACACCAACCACTCAGCCAACAGCGCCCCTTCAAGGATGTCTTAATACTCTCAATGCATTTAAAGCTCGGAGGCTGAATTCTCCGGTGCATTTTGGGCACTGGTGACATAAAAGTATACATTTACTTTGAATTAAAACCAGTTGAACTTGACCACTGTTTGCTCTTCTAACAGAGATACAGAGATCATAAAACCCAACAGTAAGCTTGAAAAACAGTGGACAAATACAGCAGCTGGGCCATATGTCATATTTAATTGCCTTTGTTTAAAAATGACAGCTTCAAAGCAAAGATGTCTCATCCTGTTAAATGCCTGCTGCTTTGACTCCTCGTTTCTCTTCCTTACCTACTACACTCGTATCCCAAGGAGGAGCTACAAAGAAGAGAGGAGAGGAGACAAGGACAATACAGAAGAGGCTACAGTTTATCACCAGATTTTATAACTGTGTTAATGTCCTACTCAGAATGCTTCATGGTCACACAAACAACACACTCATCCTCATATCTGCATCCAGATTATTCATTTGGGTGATATCATGTGAAGACTTCTGTCAGCAGCATATATCTATCAACCACTTTCAACTACATTTAATCCTGTTTTATTATCTTATTGTCATTTCAACTACACCACAGTCCATCATGCAATCTTCAATAAATATTCTGTTTCATTTACAGGATGTTGTGGGATGGATAAAGGTTTGTCTTATCTTGTACATATTTCCTTACAGGGGACTTTTCTAATATGTTTAGAGATGATTTCATGTGCAGTGTCTGAGTGTTGTAAACCAAATCACTCGCAAATACAGCTGTAGTTTGTGTCGGATTATTTCAAGTTGAGGATTAATAATTTATTTTTATATTTTTATGTGATGGAAGAAGTCAGTGTTCAAAGAGATGCTTGTGCATGAAGGCAGTAATGTTAGCACAGACAGTCCTTCAGGAATAATCTGACATCCAACTGGGCATTTGATTTTCCCCTCCTGATGGCAATCCTTGCAAATAAACGAGCTTGGATATCGATTGGATCAATAAGGGAATTAAAGAGCTTGTCCTAAAGCTAGTCGAGGCTGTAAGGCTGGGCTGTTGGGGAGGGGATTCTCAAAAAGGAATGGTTAATAAGAGGAAACTTTAAATTACATTTAGACCGTTGTGGTTGACCGAGAGTTTGTTTCTGTTTCTGCAACTAAAAACTCTGGGTTAACTCTTTCTAGCTTCAATAAATACATTTTCAGTGAAAATCACAAGAATGACTTGGAGAGAAACAATTTCAAGAAGTCAGAGATCAGAGTTGGCTCACAAAGAGGAAGGGCGTGAGGTAAGAGAAGAGGAAGTGTGGGAGTAACATTCCTGAGTCATTCCAGTGGATTAAGGTATTTTGATGTCTGTTTGATAACACAACATTGCAGTATAGCTTCTTTCCACGCCCTAGCATGTCCTGAAGCTTGATGTGATGACATCATCACCTGTGGACCGTCCAGTTTTAAACCGGAATAGTGAAACTGACCCTGACCTGTCCTGATCTCACAGGAAAACCGCCTAACAATGAACGTGCACAGTATATGGAGGATGATCTCTAAATAATCCACATGGAGGAGGGATGTGTGTTTGTGTTTGATGTGCATCTGTTACAATAAAATGCTGAGCAAACGTTCTCAGGAAACCAATCTTTGCTGTGTGACTCAGATTTCCAAGAATATGCTGGGTGTGAATGTGCTGGAGGGAGATAGGGGTGGGGGTGGGGGGCAGTGATGACATCACTTCTTCTGTCAGACTGGGGTGTATGCTTAACCAGAAACATAAACACTGATACTTTACATATGTGTCACACTGGTTACAATAGCAGCATGAAATGCATATTTTGAAAAAATGTTAAAGTAATAGTCCCATCTTCTGTCAAATGAGTTAGTATAAGTTGAGTGATAATAAAATAGTCCGACCAGCTCAACCACTGGGCAACAACACCCCTTTAAGCTTCTCCTGTTTATCTCGAATAGCCTGTTTACTTAAAATTTACAACAGTCATGAAAAGGTTTCCATTTGACAAAGACAGACATCATTACCATAAATGCAAGCAAAGCTGGAGGAGACAAATGACAAACCACATTTTTTCTCAGCTGATGTTTTGTGGAGACCACTGGCCTTAAGCGCTCACTGCTGTTTGAATCTGACTGGAGAGTGTGTATCATAGTAGCTCCTCTCATTCAAGCTGTATAGCTTTAAATAAACATACGCACACTTGTACTGCACACACACTTGACACACAAACTCATTCTATAGAAGCTTTAACACTTGCGTACTCAACGGTCATAGTCAATGAGTAGGGATGTGTAAATATGTAACTGAACAGAGCACAGAAGCTGAAACTCACCGAGGGTTCACTCATGGCCACTATTTCTCCTTCAGCCTCCCTCCGTCATTCTTCATCTCTTACTCACTGGTACAGTGCGGCCTTACATACTGACTGACCCTGACATAGACTGTGCCAGGGCCTTGTTAATGAATGTGAAGGGGAGAGGAGACTTTCATTAGTCAGTGCTCGAGAGGAAACTACCCAGGAAGAGCAAATATTTGTCTTCAGCCTCACCTTGACTTCCTGCAGGCGTTGAAGCAGCACATGCCTTCTATCACAGCCTGTAGTCTTATATTATTCTGTTTAATTATATATTTCATACTTGCCTGTGTTATTCACCTGCTGTGGGCTACACTGTCCTGCTTTAAGAATCTCATTAATGAACCTTAATGACCTTATTGGTCTATAACTGCAATGTATCATAAGATCCCAATTTGAACGCACACACAGGGTTCAAACGGAGCCAAAACACATGATAATAAGGGGTTGGGCTGAGGTACATTCTAAGCATCCTAAAGACTGAGCTGCATTTAAGTAAAGCATCAGGAATGAGCCACAAGGGATTGATAAATGGTACTAAAGTGAATAATGACGTAGTGTGATTATGCGGTATGAGTCAATGTCTTACAGTGGCATTTAATCTCACTTCAGAGGCCGTTTGAGCGCGCCCTATCCCTGCCTGTGAAACCTAACAGAACAATGTGAAGAATGTGGGTGTAGAGAACAGACTTCAGCACGTGATGAAGGTGACTGACACCTGTTCAATGGACATGTCATGACATGTTATTATTCAGTGAATGGGAATAATATTATGCAACAATGTTTATTCATCCTGTGGCAACAGGATAAGATGCAAATGAAGGCTCATTCAGATGCTTTAAAAAGTTCAGTATTATTTCAT